CGGTCGTCCGTTCGGACGACGTCCTCGAGTGGCGCGCTGGGAGAAGGAGAGCAAGCGCCGCTCGTACCGCTCAACACCGCCAGCCTGAACGGCGCCCCCAAGGGCAGCAAGTACGACGACATCACCTTGATGGGCGCGGAGGCGGCCGGGGGCGGCTGCATGAAGACAGGCCTCTGGAAAAGCGAGACCACAGTCTAGGGTGGAGGCGGCCTGGCCCCATGGGGGCCCTCAAAGACGTCTATCGGTACGTCCCCAGGTTTGAGGCAGTAGTGCCTTGCTGCGTCCGGGCTCACCAGCTTTCGTCCTGGACCCTGAGGAAAGGAGAGGCAGAGGCTGCCACTGCCGAGGGGCCATCCTGCGGAGTAGCGACAGACAATCCCTGAAACTCAGGCAGGATTCAGTTCCGTCCCAGCCCAGGCTAGTTTCGGCAGTACCTGCCGTCCAGGGGTGGGAGGGGAGGTCCTATCAGCCTGTGGAGTGACCAAGAGTGGAAGGGACAGCACAGGTCAGATGGATTCCTCCTAAGGTACTCCCCACACCTGTCCACACCGTCTCACTGGCCGCCATCAGCCCTATCATGCAAACATAGATGATGGGAGCCTGAGAACACTTCTGTCCTCACTGCTCTCCTCTGAAGTCACCCATCTGTGCCCAGATACAGTTTTTGGCTTACAAGGGAGCCAGCCTACTAGATGAGTCAGACAACCAGGGCCAATGGGAGGGAACAAGGTGCTGCTTTTCAGATTAACTATGCAAGAGGAGAAGGTGGGGCGGGGTGAAAGGCGGCAGTGGGGGAATCAACTAGTTCCATGGAAGAGGGGCAGGTGGAAGGGTGCACAATTAGGACTAGACACCATTCCCACAGGACTGGCAAACCATACAGCAGGGCTCAGAGGTGGCCTTCAGGACAAAGCCAAGGCCTGACACCTAAGAAGCTGACTGCCTGATGCCTGGGGATGATCTGAGGGAAGTCGAGAGAGGTAGTGCTTAGATCTGGGGCCAAAGCTAGTCATGCCCTAAACCCAGTCCTACAAACCATGCCCTTAAGAGGGGCTCCAGGGCTAGGCCGCAGCACGGGAGGAGCACTTACTGTTCAGTTACAGAACTTGCATCCCGCCAAGGGACCGAGGAAGAGCACGTCCCTCCCTCCATGAGGCCCCATGGGAGAGGCGCTCCAATCATTGGATCTCCAGCTCTATATTAAGGAGAAACTTCCAAAACATCAAACCAGCTTCCGGCCTTATAGAAGCCTGAGCCAAATCCCCGAGGCAGGGGTAGGGCCCCTGCAGCTCACCTGGGGCCTCCACCCTCACTACTTTTATTTAAACACCAGCACTCACATTTTCCCCCAACCTAAAAAGCCACCACCAGCCTTTGATCACAGGACCCAGCAAGAGCGGAGGGAACCTTGGGCCTTGTGAAGCCACAGGAGAACCAGGCCTGGTCCACACCCCCTCCCAGGCTCCACGTCACCACAGCCTGACCACTAAGGCGCGAGAAGACGCAGGGGTTGGGAGAAAACCCGCACGTGACGGGATGGATCCTGTTATTTATGCTTGCTGCACAGACAATATTAGAAAACAAAGCAAAAAGCGAAAAAAAAAAAGCTTTGTATTATTCGTCCACATATGCTGGCTGCTGTTTCCATACCCTGCCGACGCCTTAGCACTGGAGAGCTTTTTGCAATACGCTGGGGAGAGGGGAGGGAGGGAGGAAAAGTGCCAAAGAAAACATGTTTTTAAAAGCTCGGGTTTTATACAATAGAATGTTTTCTAGCAGATGCCTCTTGTTTTAATATATTAAAATTTTGCAAAGCCCTTTGAGCCATGACCTTACTCCACCCACGGCCCTTTCGTTATGTGGGAGAGGATCTCTTGACACCACACACATGAACCCACCAAAGCCTCTGGATGGACACAGGGCAGAGGGCTGCCCAGTTCTTGTCCTCTGAGGGCTGACACGCTGAGAATGCCAACTGCTCAGCCCCATCAGCCCTGCAGTAGGGTATCCAATTCGAACCAGGAGTAGGAGAGCGCCTGACAGTCTCCTAACAGTCCCAGAGGAAAGCCAGCCCACAGAATAGGAATACAGACAACCCACTTTCTGGGACCAGGGGATGGGACTCTCTCCGACCCAGCGTCCCTGCCTTCCTTCTGACTTCTACTCCAGCACCTGGGCTCCCAATAACTGCAGAGCCTCTCTAGGGTCCTTTAAACAAGAACAGCAATACTTAAGGACTTGTATACACTGATTTCTCTAGACACGTTGGGCCTGTTATCAGGCTGCTATCAGAAGGGTCATGTGCCCATCACCCCGGATGTGCATCAGGGAGGGTTAGGAACACTCATGGCAGCCTGTCTAGCAGCTTGGGCTCTCTGGAAGTCCCTGACTTCCTGAGGGGTACGCAAATACTGCTCGATTTCACTATCAGAAATGTTCTCATCTCCGGTGACCGTGGAGACAGGCAGGGTGGGACAGATCCGCTTTGGGGGCTTCAACATGCAGGGTGGGAGGAGGAGAGCAGGGCTTGCTGGCCGCTTCCCCTCAGGCAAATCTAAGGAGCTTCCCTCCACCGACTCTGTTCCCTGTCCCTGCCCCTGGCCTCGGCCCTGTAGCTCCTTCTCCCCGATGTCTGTCCCTGCCGTTCCATCTCGAAAAGCCTTCCGGACCAATGTGTGGCGATGCTGGAGAAGGTCACCAATGTGCTTCACCACAGACCGTTTGTCAAGCTTCAGAACCTGCAACCAGGCCAGCTGCTCCGCCATCCGCAGCAGCACGGCCAGCAGCTCCTGCAGGCGGGAGGAAGCAGGGTAGGGCAGGTCCACGTTCGCCAATTTACAAAATCGGGCAAGGGAACACGTCAGCCGATCTGAAGGCTGCAGTGACTGCCAAGCCAGGAAAGTAGCGGCGGTGATGACAGGCAAGGGATGCCGCCCGGTCACCAGCCACGTCTCATCCGCCAGCTCCACCAACTGCAGCGTTCGAGATAGCATCTTCTCTTTGTCTTCCACGTACTTGGCTGGCACAGATGGGGAGGCTTGAAACAGTTTGAAGCTGCAATAAGCAAAATGAGGGTCTGGTCTCAATACCTATGGGGAACTGCTCTTCCAAGGTGAGGAAGATGGGCAAGCTAGTCTATTCTCCTGGGAACACTCAAGCTTGCTGGGCACAAGTTTATCCTGGTACCAAGGGAAGACAGGGTGAGTTTCCTGATAGAGAGGGGAAGGGCAGGAGGATGCAGAAGGGAGCTAACATTTGTTGACTGCCACCCCCCATCAGCCATTGTTCTGAGTGCTTTACAAACGTTCTCCTCTCATCTACTCCACACTCCATTCTGTGCATTTATAGTTGAAAAACTTGCCCCTAGTCACCCAGCTAGAAAGTAACCAAGCTTCAAACCCCCGACTATTTGACACCAATAGCCTTTGTCTTCCACATACTTGGCTGGCACAGATGACAGGGCTTGAAACAGTTTGAAGTTGAAATAAGCAAACTGAGCGTCTGGTCTCAATACCTATGGGGAACTGCTCTTCCAAATATTTGTCAGGCAAAAAGAAAAGAACACAGCTACTTACAAAAAAAACAAAACAAAACAAAACAAAAAAAACACTTCTAACTCCAGCTCTGTCATTTCTTAGCATCCCTTCAATGCTAACTGCAGATGATCCTGCTGAGACAGGGTTGTATGCAGCCAAGCAGGCCGTGTACAATATGACATGTGGAACCCAGGAGCCCTGTGCCAAGGTCAATACCTACATTCCTACATCATTAGGTTCCTGTGAGAGCAAAGGGATTTGAAAATTCTAGCATTCAGGAAATGTAAAATGGGATTAATCTGGTTAGTACTAGGCACCAGAGAAGGAGAAGAGATTTTTCTCCCGCACCCTTGTAAGATGAGCTTTGGTCCAAAGGAGATGGTCAGAGGTAAAAGGATTCAGGTCTAAACCCATCCCATCCCAGTGTCTCCCACTAGGCAGGTACCTGCTACAGTAGGTCTTCACCAGGTCTACCAAGCACAGAGACGGCACATCCAGTCCCAGGAGTTTCACTATCTGCATGTAGGTGCCAGAAAATACATCCAAATCTGCATAGAGCAGGGTGCAGATGGTTCCCATGGTCAGGGGCCAGTTACGCTGCCGGCAGGTAATTAAGACACAGCACCCCACCAACACCTCCTTCTTCTGCAGCCTGGCAGCTCGGATGCCAGAGTGCCGGTAGGCCTGTTGGTAGTAGGCAACTGCTGTGTCTTCAAATGTTGGTGGCAGCTGCAGAACTCGACAGAGGTCTCTCACTCGGCGGAGACCTAAGAAAACCCACAGCAGGAGAGAGGGGTCCCAAAAATACATTAAAAGGATCATACACCATGACCAAGTGGGATTTATCCCAGAGATACAAGGACTTTTCAATATCCATCCATCAATGTGACACACCATATTAACAGACTGAAGAAGAAAAGCCATATGATCGTCTCAGTTGATGCAGAAAAAGCTTTTTATAAAACTTAACATCCATTTAAAATAAAAACTCTCCAGAAAGTGGGCACAGAGGGAACATACTTCAACACAATAAAAGGACATATATGACAAACTCACAGCTAACATGGTGAAAAGCTGAAAGCATTTTCTTTGAGATCAGGAACAAGACAAGGATGCTCACTCTGCCCGTTTTTATTCAACATAGTTTGGAAGTCTTAGCCACAGCAATCAGACAACAAAAAGAAATAAAAGGAATCCAAATTAAAAAGGAAAAAAGTGAAACTGTCACTGTTTGCAGATGACATGATACTACACAGAGAGAGCTGAAAGGAGCCACCAAGCAGCTCCCAGCAATTTCTGCTAAACTTGCCTCAGATAGCAGATGCACAAATAATGGACCTTTCTACAATAAAAGTGACACTTGGTGAGGTCATTCTAAAGGCATAATAAAGACATCTGTGCAAAGAAGTCACATTTCAGCGCCCATCTTTTGGAGGCTGGTTTGATTTGGGGCCAGGCCAAGCCAAAGTTTGATCTGGGCTCTTTGAGTCAACTTCACACATATCCTCAAGAAAATCTAAACCTTCTACTGATTTGCTACCTCTCTTAGAAACATCTCCATCCTTTATTTCTAATTACCATTCTCTTCTATGCTGCATTACACGGTAATGCTGAAAACAGGAAAGGCAAGCAGATGGGCTGGACCATCAGGAGAACTTTTTTTAAAGCCACTGTATCAGAAAAGGTTGATTCTTACCTCGTTGCTGGCTGCGACTAACTTGTTCGTTTTCCCCTGTGCTTCGGGAATAGGTTACTTCTGTAATATAGTGGACAAAAAATAGCTTGTTTAGATTTTATTCACCAAATCCCTGCCCTCCTGCCAAACAAAACACGAGGAGCAGAACCAAAATCATCAGGTAATCTGCTCCCTGTCTCACAAAAGGTGCCCATCTTTACACCTTAAAGGTCCATCCTGCCATCTATGACCACAAGCAGTACTAGAGACTGAGGAAGATCAGGACTGCAGGAAAGTAGTTCCAAATGTTCTAAATTTCTACTTGTCCTTCCTGTACATCCAATACAGGCAATTTTCCTGCCTGCAGATTTTGAGGGCTGCGTTGGTCAGGGACTTGGAAAGCAAAGAAAAAACGATGCTTTTGTCAATCAGTGTTCAAAATTACTTCGGGGTAATAGTATTTTCTGTATTCACAAGGAACTGACCCACAATCCTCCCACCATGTCCAGATTAAGTAAATTGAGTGGAACTTTGTTTCTCTCTTTGCTCTACTTATTCCAAGTTTATTAATACCTACTACATATACCATACACGGTGCTAAGGAAACACACGTGAACGGCAGTTCCTGACTTTCTGTAGCTCACTCGTTCACTTTAGACCGTTTTCTCCCGTATTTAAGTGTGTACATGACAAGCAGAGGACAGGAGATAAGCAGAATCTAACGTCAATCCCTCCACCGCCCCAGGCTGTGCCCAAGGCCCTGGAAAAGCCGGCCCAAGTACCTCGGAGGTTGCCTTCGTCACTGAAGGTGGTCGTAAGGACTCCCTCGGTGACCACGCAGCCACATTCGGAGCACACCAGCTGGCTCTGCGAATAGTGCGAGTCTTCCACGAGCTCAGTGGAGCCGCAATCGGGGCAGCGGCCTCCGCCCGGCATCTCACAACCCGTCCAGAGCCGAGGAAGCTTCCAGACAACCGCCTCTCACGTCGACAACAGCCACAGTGCAGAAACAGGAAGTAGGAGGGGAGCTTTCTAAGCTCTGCACCTTTCTCTTCCGGTCAGAGCGACGGCAGTACCATAGGTAGTTCCCTCCGCGCCTGCGGCGGCGCGCCGCTTCCGGTCCCGTTCTCCTTCGGACTCGGGTAGCAACGTGAGCTAAGCGATGAGGTTCCTGGTGTGGACTGCGTCTTCAGGACGCAACCTGTAATTAGTTCCAAGTGGGCCAGACTAAGGGTTGCATTTGGGTGCGGTTACCACCTACGTGTACTCGCATAACGGAGAAGAAATTATGGCCATCCACAAACGTCTCTCCTTTCTAAAGCGCTAAGAGAATCGCAGATTCTCCGCTTCTCTTTCATAACGAATGTTTACTTTTGCCATAGTACAAAATTTGTGTCTAAAAGGGAGAATAGCGTAGTGAAAGAGCAGGAAATTGTGTTCTTTACACAGCAGCTTCCCCTCGAGCAAATTGTTTGCTGTCTTTGCATTCCATTTTTCTCCAATGTAGAATGAGAGCATTATAAGATAAAATGGGGTGTGGGGGTGGCGAGAGAACAAGGATGTTGAGTTAAAATCCAGAGTGGCAACCTCAAATGCTTTCAGAGGCGAGGCAAGGAATG